TTCACTCAAGCAGAAAAAAGTTTTGAATTTGTTTTTAAACTATTTTATAACAAGTGATGAAAAATAAATTATACCAAAAATCAAGTCAATTATTAAGACTAAAAAACTTTAAATGTTTATCCTAGCAATTTGTTTTGCATTTGATGAAATTCATTGTGTATTGTGCAATATAACTTCTTAGACTTAATCAAACTGTTGATGCAGAACTGTAATGACAACTATAGTTTTTGAAGAGATGAAAATAAAATGTCTATATTTGACAAACAGAGAATTATCACTTTTCCTCACAATAATGCTAGGTCTCATCTTACAAAAAAATATTACCAAACAATAAGAGAAACTGATAAAATTTTAAGCTTTAAAAATATATTTTAATCTTAATTACTATATATAAAACATGTGGTATTTTGTAAAATTTAAAAAAAATCTAAAATTCTTATTTAATTTTTACTGCATTTGAATTTTTTATAGTTCCATTTATTAATGACCATATCTGAGGATAGACTATAAATTACAATTAAAAAACTCAAGAACTATATTTTCAATGTTCTAGATTACAATAAAGGTATGTCCTTTTTCTAATTAAAAACATATCTTCAATACTTTCCTGATCAATACTTCAGTAATATATTTTTAGTTAAGGTCATCCCAGACTTTTTGAATAAGACATTTAACAAAGAAGACCAAGTTAAACAGTTTTTAATGAATTCATTAGTTCAAAAGATCCAGAATCTTTCACCAGGAAATCAGAAAGCCGATGAAAAGATAGCTTCTATTACTATACTAATAGAAAATTTATAGACATATTGAGTATTTTTAATGCCAATTATTATATTTCACTACACAAAATCAACAGAACTTTTTGCACACACATTAGAGATTAATTTCTACATATAATTTTTTTCCTTAGATTTAATTTTATTTAATGTTATTTGATATTAGTTTTATTTTTGTTTCTTGATGAAGGGATAATGCATTGACAGAATAATAAATATTTAAAATTAAAATTCAATTTTTAAATTTTATGATTGTTTTAATTATCTTCTTTCTGAAAATGAGCTTATAGCCAAACATTTTAGTGTAATTTATTATTTTTTAAAAACTTCAGAGAAGTACGTTTTTTTATTTTTAAAATTTTTACTAAATGAAAAAGATACTAGAACTGATATCAAAACAAGCATAGATTCATAAACAATATTTATGAAATTATAAAATTACATTTAAAAAATATCAATACATAACTGCAAAACAAAAAAAATATATATATAATCACATCAATGTCAAAACCAATAAGTTATTTTTAATTTTAAGATATTCTATAAAGAATATCAAATTAATATTCAGCACATATTTGTTTTGAAAAGACTTTTTTTTTTTATTGTCTTGAAGATGATTTGTATGATCTGAAAACATTAGATACTAATAATAAAATTATTTTTTATAAATAAAAATTGATTTTTTCTTACTACAATAGAAGCTCTGTATTTGCAAGGATTTTGTCTCTCAAAATTGCTAATAAATATGGAATCCACAAATGCATGAAGGAGAAATTATTTATATATATTTTATATTACTGAATATAATTTATATTAAAAATATATAAATAAAATAATAACATATATATTAAATAAAACCCTACCCGAAAATTTGTTAAAGTGGTAATTACAGTTTTAATTTACCTCTATTAAAAATGCATTTGAAATTATTCAACTTTTGAAAAATAAAATGTTATCTTTAATTCACATTTTAATCCGCTGTAACAGTCATTTCATAAATAAAATAAAAGTATTTATGATTTAATTGATAATATTTTTACGTCATTAACTTTATTTAAAAATTGTTATAATTTTTAAACCAAAAAAAAAAAAAAAAGTTTGCAGAAGGTAGGATCGAACCTAGGTCGCACCGCGTTGCAGGCGAGTACGCTACGGACTGAGCCACTTCGCTGTACTACCATAAGGTAGAATCGATCGGTATATAAGCTGCGCTTAAAATTTTAGAGCCTTTTTTCTTGGAATCTTCTGGCTAGTGCGCTTTACAATTCTTCTGGGTGGACACCCTTGAGGTATACTACAAACCTGCCAAGTCTCATCCCGAACTGAATTTCCGAGACCGTAAGGTCCCCTTGTTAGTTAAAATCTTTAAATTTTTTTTTAGTTTGTTTAAATTATGTAAAATAATCTTTTAGAAGAATCAAATGTCTTTAAACGTAACTGACCTTGATTAGTACTTATTCTAAAATAATTCTGTTTAATTATTTTAGATATACAGTAGCAGCCAAGGAAATTGCACCACTCATAAAATCCTACAAAAGTGTGTTCATTTTTAAAGTTAAAGTATTTTGCTACAGATCTGCAAGGAACTGCAAATATTGTTTTATCCATGATATCATAAACACGGACATTTTTCTTTGGCTGACGAAGTTTACTGTCACAATATTTTTAGTGATTGTATATCATCCATTGGTATAAAAACTCATGCAAAAGGTGGTGTGCTTTTATAAGCAAAATGGAAAGTTTTCGACAGTTAACACTGCATAAAAAGTCCATAATTGTTGCTTTAAATGCTGAAGGTTTACTCTCTTAAAATAGTACATAGAGAACATTGCCAACAATCAAAAATTGTGCATTTGTTATAAAGGAGATGTAATTATGGCAACATTGAAAGAAAAGCTAAAATAGAGGCAATCTTATGAGTTTGCCATGCCAGGAAAGGATGCTCAACTGTCAGCTTGAGAGAAAATACTGCTATTTCTTCCAATGTCAAGTGAAAGAAGCAAACAGGTATAAAACTAAGTGTGCTGCACAACATGGGTTTAAAAGCCTATCATTTATGTAAGCTTTCAACAATTATACAATTGTTACATCAAGCTAATTTCAATAATTAAGGAACAATTTCATGACACAAAATACTGCATCTTCCAGGATAATTTTGTGTCATGTTGCCTTACCAAGATAGTGAGTAAAGTATATTGTGCCCTTTTCTACAATTTGTTACCATTATTGTTACTTAAACTGATTTACGAATTTCTTTTCCTAAACAATTTGTATAAGATGATGCAGAAGCCTGGATCAGATGGCTAAGATGTCCAAGTAACAGTCCTGATCTCAATCCTATTCAAAACTGTTCACTTATTATAAACACAAAAATTGCAAGAGAGTTTGAAAACAAACAGTAACAGCAGAGGTTTATTAGAAGCTAATATCTTGAGCTTAGTATAAGAATACTTGAAGAAACTCATCAACTCAATGCCAGAGCATTGCAACGCTGTTATTAAGGCTCCAAGTGTTTCTATGAAGTATTAGAATTCCAGGAATAGTTGTTTTTCAGTTCTACTTATGATCTGATCACTCCTTTTTGTTTCTGTAACTGTACACAGCAAGTTCTTGTAACAGTGCTCATTAACAATATTGATGAGAATGTAGTGTGAAATAACACTTAAGTTGAATGTAGCATTATATGAATAATAAATTGCATTTGTTTCATTCATTCCTCTTTGTTTCTTCTCTACGCTACATATGCTATCATTACAATATGCTAAATCATAATTTAATTCTAAACACAAGATCAGCCAAAATCATCTTAATCTGTTTGGGACAAAATCAGCCAAAGAGAAAATTTGTTTGATTTGTTTCACTATACAAATTCCACTGAGGGGTAAAAACAATTTTGTCTCCAAATAAACTCTGAAAATTTCTTTTTTCTTTCTAAAGAGTTAAACAGATGTACCAATTAGCATATTTAACACTTTCTGATACAATAAGTGAGGCAATTTCCATGACAGCAGGACAGATTCATTTATAATGAAAGAACAATCAAGTGTACAGTACCTGATTCTTTCTTACAAATAGTCTAGTTCTTTAATTTTCTTTTCAAAGAGACATAGTGCTATATAAGTTTCTTCTATCAATTTTACTAGAAATACTAACTGCAGTAAAACATTAAAAAACCAGCAATGAGTTGCTAAACTTTCCTGGCAACATTTAAAATTTTGATGGTGCCATCTGTTATCATAGTTAAAAATATAACAATTTTTTTTCAATAAAATCTTATAAAATGGCAAAAACCTTAATTTTGAGGGTAGGGATGAGTTTTATAAAAAAAAATTGTAAATACTAACAAGTAAAATGATCATTACGTCCGATCCTATTGGAGATCCACATGGCCCCATATCTTCCTATCCCCCTCAACCTTTAACCACCAAAATTTAATAGCATCACTTCCCCTTAACAAACCTCACTGCAAAATTTAAGAAATTTTAGATGAAAAGCATAAGAGTTATTAAGCTTCAAACAGGGCAAACAAAATTGTGCCCTCCACACACACTAACATCCATACACACAGAAATTACACCCGAATCTGTTTGCATTTCTCAACGTTTCAAGGTATCCTAAGTCCAAAAATGTAAAAATCTGGGAGGTCATTTTTTGCCAAATGCCCATACTTTCCCTCTATATAACAACTGGGAAAGTAAAATCATTTACAGTAGACCCCCCCTATAACACTGTAGATAATTCCGTGTTATATGAATTCCATGTTGTACGAGTCACTTAGATTTTACAAATACATGAGTCGTTCATAGCCTGGCTATGAACGACTCATGTATTTGTAAAATCTAAGTGACTCGTACAACATGGAATTCATATAACACGGAATTATCTACAGTGTTATAGAGAGGTGTAATGTAATTGTTTATTTATCAAATTTTCGTTATTTTTGTTAAAATTTGCATATTTCTGGAAAGATTAACTTCACAAATATATAAAGTCACAAATATGGAGCTTCCACTGTATACATCTTGATACAATAAATGAACAGTATTTATCTATGATAAGTATACTGTATGTAATAAAACTATTAATATGCCAAAATTCATAGGTCTGCTATTTTTATGATTCTACAGTAACATTATACACAGCATTTTATCTTAAATATCTTTTTTACACATTATTATTATTTTTATTATATTTGAGAAATAAATAAATAACATCTATCTTACCTTATTTCCAATAACAGGAGAGGGAGTGCTGGTATGACTATTTTGTGAAATATGAGTTGGAAAATTTGCTTGAGATGAAGAATTCTGATTATTAGAATTACTTGCACTTGGTACACTGGCTGGTGATAAACCAGTTGGATTGTTAGTTGGTGCAGAATTTGAATTTGGCATAGTGACATTTACTTGATCATTTGAATGGACTTCAATTTTATAACCAGGTGGTAAAAATGTATTAAATCCAACAATTAATTCAGGATGTCCTTTGAACAGATTTGATACACGCTGAATCACACCAGGAGTATCAATACTAAAGTAAAGAATAGACATATAAATGTAAATTTACATTATATATACAAATACATTGTGATATTATATAAAATATATAAATTAATTAGCATTTCTAATAATCTTAACTATAAAAGTCATTTGACATTTTTGGTTTTTTATAAAATCTCAAATGATAAAATGACAAAATTCAGAACAATTTAAAATTTTACATATTATATTTATACATGACAGAGTCAAAAATAAATGAGAAAAGAACAGTAGTTTTGTTATGAGAGCATAAATATAATAAACTAATTTATTATGACCATTTGCTATTGTACATTTTTGCCAATGATCATATCAAGATTGAAAGCAGTCCTAAACAAATTCTACTGTTTTAAGTTTCTTCAAATCTAATTTTTTTTAAATTCTTTATATATTCATTTAAAATACTCAATTTTGAAAAATTATACTCAAATTCATTTTTTTCTAAGTAGCCTGAGTTAAGAATTGAACATAACAATAAAATAAGAAAACATAATTTAAAAGTTGTTTTTTAAAGTAATTCTTACCTTTGTGATTTAAATTCTTTCATTATATCCAAAAAGTCATTATACACTTGAGGCTGATTTCCAAATCTAAATTTCACTTGATCCAAATATGATAAAGCATCTTCAACTTTTAATCTTTGAAACTGTTGCTGCTGCTGTCCTTGGGCTGTTTGTGCCTGTAAATATTAAGTCATTTAATATTTTTAAATATAAATAAAAAGATATAAGAAATATATTTCTATCTTCATTATGTAAACATACTTAATCAAAATTTTTAAATATTTTCTTAATTTTTTTACTAAGAAGATCAAAAAGATGAGGGGGGAAAGCTTAATTCTGGAAACTGAATTAAATTTTTCATTCAGAAATGTTGTCATTCTTTTATAAGATTGGCACTGGCTACAAATACAGACTACAGTAGAGCCTCAATTATCCGACCCAATTGGGGACTGGGGTTGGTCGGATAATTGAAAAGTCGGATAACCGAAAAGTATGAAAAAATCCATTACAGTAGAGTCTCGATTATCCGACCCAATTGGGGACTGGGGTTGGTCGGATAATTGAAAAGTCGGATAACCGAAAAGTATGAAAAAATCCATTATTAGTGTAGTATATTATTATATCCCATGTAATTAGTATATCACTATTAACCTACTTCGCGTTGAATTTTCATCGATGTTAAGCCTAACAAAAATTTTTTAAAATAATAATCGTCGCTATTGTATCGTTAAAAATTAGAAAATTAAGCCTCGTTTAAATACTGGCTCCCTTTCATGGTCGAATGAGTGTTGCCAGCTAAAACATGTAAAAATAATATTAAAGTAGCCGAGACATAGCCAAATATTGTAGCGCCACATCACTAGTGGACATTTGAAATTTGCCGACTAGGATGGTCGGTTAACCGAGGTGGCGGTTAATCGGGGGTCGGATAATCGAGGCTCTACTGTATTAGCAAGTGTGTTAGAATAAATATATTTGAAAGAGAGAACATCTCTAGAAAGTAGAGAATTATGTACTGTACAGTATATACATTTATATTTATAGAATTATGAAATAATTTATATATTTCATAATTATTTAAATTATATAATTTGTATATCAAATAAACTGCATTTCATATTTACTTTATCCAAAAATGACATTAAAAGCAATAAAAATAGTAAGACTAGAAATACCTGTGCTTGATGTACAACAACTTGAGGCTGTTGATGAACTGGTGCTTGAGCAGGAAGAGAATGAGAATGATGTCCTGAAGATGATGAAGCACTATGACTGCCTGGTGACACTAAGGAAGAACCAACTCTTGACCTAGTGAAATAGCAAAAGTTTAATGTAATAAAGAAATATGTGTATTAAATATGATCAAAGAATATATACTAATATGAGAAAATCAAAAGTTAAATGACAGAATATAATTAAATTACATTTAAATCAATGAAATAGCAAAACAATTTACAAAAATTGAAAAATAACATTCTGCATAGTGGAATTTCTTCAATATACCATTCCCAGTTCTATATTAATATTAAAAACTAATCCAAACTTAATGTCTCTTATATAATACTAGCATTAATATTCCTACCACATAGGTGCAAGTAAAAAAATAAATACACACACAAACAAACTTTCCAGTTCTATTTAAAATTGTTTTCTTTGAAGCCAAAAAATATGAAAAAGTACATTCTAATTTTGATGGTTCTTCAAAAAATATACACTATACATAACTCAGGCTTTAGAAATCCAGCAAACACAAATATTTAAACAACTTCTCCACAAACCCAATTTTTGATTGGGTTTGTGGAGAAGTTGTTTAAAGCCTGACAATCTGCCAAATTATTAGGCTATAATAAGGCTTAAGTTAATAAATATGTACTAACACTAACATTTTCAATTTTACTGAAAGACTTTCTTCAGGTGTTAGTATATATTTATGCTTGTTAGATAAATAAGATTATTGTTATTTCATTTATAATTACCCTATGTAGAATAATTATCCTATTATTAATAAGAAGTTAACAGCTCAGGCATAAACATGTTTAACTTCAAAATTAAAGCTGTGAAGTTACAGTATGTTCCACAGAATTGTATATGGCAAAACTTTGAGAAAAATTATCAGAGCACCATCTATTAAATGTAATTGAAAACTTTGAAGTAAAGATTACATAGTACCAATTTAATCAAAATATTGGTATTGTTTGAAACAAACTCCTTTCAAAATGAGTGTGAAGTAAAGTACTTAAAGCATTATGAAGCAGTGTTCTTAGTTATTCCTGAAATTACTGAAATTATCAATCACAACAGCTGCAAAATCAATCAAAGAATCAAAGATGTTTGTGAAGAAGTGAGTGAGTTGATATAAGGAGATTGGAAATGTAAATAACTTGCAAAAAAAAAAATTAAGTCCTGTGACAAAGAAAATCAAGACAAAGTAACCAGCTTTACAGACAACCTCCAAACTTAGCATTACGTCAAAGCCAAGTTTTGCTTTATAACAAGAGTATATACATTGGAATAAATACAATTAGACATCAAATACATTAAAAAAATCTTAAATAGCAGTCTACTACACAAAATCTGGCTAATCATTATGGGACTAACCAAATCTACGATGGGCTTGATAAAAATGCTCTTTTATTACCCACAAGGTAAAAAGAGTAAGAAAAAAGACAGAAATGACTATAATTTGCAATAGTAGTGTTACCACCCATCCAGTTTTCACCTGGACAGTCCGGGAATTGACTCACTGTCCGGGTGAACTATTAATTTTGTCTGGGAATTTCCATGTTAATCTGTTTACACCGACGTGTGGCGTGGCACGAAACCTGCCATCCTTGTTTGTTTGTTTTTTTTTTTTTTTTGCATGTACAATTGTGCACATCTACGAGCTAAGTTATCAGTACCTGTTCTTTCTTAATTTAAGTTACTTACGTTACTCCTACGCAAGTCCCTAGTCCCTAACTATAACTGATGTAGAACCAGCATGCACGTTATTCTTCGCATTGTAAAATGACATTGTGCATGTGTCAGGAACTTCTGTTCGAACAAACCTCACCTGCTGTCTGGGTCAGCAATTTTGGAAAGGTGGCAACACTATGCAATAGTATTTTATATATTCCATTATATAATGATGGGATACCAGCTATATTCCAATTAGAAAATTCTTGACAATTCCATAATCCTGTGTCTGTAGGTATATAGAAACACTACCAGTAATTCAATGATCCAAAGCTATGGTTTAATTATGTTTATTTTGGTTGATTACATACATAAGTAGATGCATTTTGGGCTGACTTACATTTTATAACTCCTCATCAGCAATGATGAGGTTTCAAAAATACAAATCATATACTACCATTAACTTCTAAACAAATGTATTTGATTAATTATTATATTAGTCAAACCATATTTTTGCAGATTGACCGGCATGCCATATATAACCGGAGGTACAGCTTAGAGAAAAAGTTCATTCTTGGTCTTAAGCTTACGCAGGTGCGCAGTCAGCTTATCACTTACAGTGTCAGATCCTTTTATTCGTTAACAAAGTGTTTTGAGATGAACCGGTCTGGTTTGGGCCATAATAGGGATTAGGAAAATGATTCAGAGGGGCTTATTTCCACCTTGAATGTCCGCTGTAGGCTGACAATACTAATCGATGATTGCTTCTGTTGCCTGTGTAGCGTCATCTGTTTTTATTTTAAAATTGTAAAATTGCAGCCACTGATTATCATAAATTCTGATTATTTCTTTAATTTTCATACTTTCCTTTAATAATAACGTTATATTTACGTTTATTTTCCTGTAATTAAATACGATACAGCTTTAACTGTGCGTGAGTCGCTAGGAATGGTTCCCTTACTTGAGTCGCATGGTTTTTTCAAACCCAGTGTTTTTAATATGAAATAATTCAATTTTATCTATCGCATAAAGAAACTACAGTTTTTTTTGTTTAATTCTGCGCTTTATTCTCTATCTAGTTATATGAATTACTTGTGTATTGACAAAATTGTTTTTTTAGTATTTATTTTTATATAATCTGATACGAAAAACGCAAAAAATAAACATATCAGGTTTCATTTGCCATCAGATTATCTCAACTTTCACTGATTGTCCTGGGTTTCACTGTAATCTTCAAGATTGTGTTTCAAAGTCCAATGTTAAATATTTATTGCTTTTGCGGTAATGTGAGTAAAGCAGGAGAAGTCAATTCATTTCTATAATAAACCGCTAAGTGTTTTATTACCGTTTAAACAACTGCTTCCCACTTGTTATTTTTACCAGAGAGGAATGACAATGTCAGTGAAAATTTATTAATTTTGCAAAACAAAGTTTCAAGTGAGCTGTCACCCACACCCCACCATTAAAGACAACAACAGCTAAGTGTTTTATTACTCTCCTTTCCTTAACTATTTGTTAATAGAGTCATAGAATAATTAAACGTTATAAAAGTTATTATAAATTTTATTTTAGATTTAACTGCATTGTTGGCAGATTAATTGCTTAGATATATTTGTTTTTTTCTGATTCGCTATTCTGATATAGTTCGGTAACGATTCACGGAAAATAAGCTTAATGCAGGGTGTGGCCGACAAGAAAGTCCAATCAAGTAAGTAGAACACAGTGTGGCTAACATCTTATAACAAATTACTTTATATATCCTTTATTTCTCGAGAAATTACAATAAAAGAGCGCAAATTAAAATAAATGAAATTTTAGAGGACCATGTATCGACAAATCTAATTTAAACCTCCCGTTATCATCTGATTGGTTAAAAAAATTATTATTCCTAATTGGCTTGCGTCAGAAAAAGTAGGTGTGACTTCAGTAAATTACGTGAGAGCTTCGACCAACCCGGAAAAGCCAATAGTCTATGTCAGGGGTGGCCAAAAAGTGACGCATGCACCAAACGTGGCACATTGGACGATTAAAAATGGCGCTTCAGTTAGTTCTGAGCAAAATTGCCAATTTGGCTTTTTTGCAATTAAGAATATTATATAGAAAAATAAATTTTTTATAATCTGTCTTGGCAAGTTCATTTGTTGCACAATTCGTTACACTCTATTTTGCAGATAAAATGAGTATTCTCCACATAGTAAATTACAGTGTATACATGTATTTTGAGTCTTGCGATCTTTATTTCCGATCAGTTTACAGGCCTGTAAATGGCCGAAAACATTTATTGTGATTAAAGTTATTCTAAGCTGATCTCGTTCTCAGTGCCAATAATTGTGGTGCAGAGTAATCTTCATCAAACGAGACTCTGGCAGCTATAGCACTGCCAGAAATCATGAAGCAATCACCCTCTCATACAGGAGATCATTGCTGACTATTGTAAATTGGTGCTTCAATAAACTGTCATAAATTAATTAATTCAATTGCATGATTAAGTTATTCCCTTTTCTCCCATAAGCGAAGCAGATTTATTCTTATCTCTATTTATCAACCCCTAACATTGAACGTAAGACTGTATAAAAAGTGTTCAAGTTATATGGCACATCTGAACTCGTCTGTCAAAAATTTGGCGCATGGTATGCAAAAGGTTGGCCACTCCTGGTCTACGTCATCAGCCTAACGGTCGCAACGTCATAAAAATGAGCGTGAACTTATGGACTGAAATGATATAAATACTGCAGCGATACTGGAATCTCTGCCGAAGAAAAATGGCTAAAGCATTATCAAAAGACATAACAGAGCTTATCATTAAACATAGAAACGAAGGGAGAACATTAGAAGAAATAGCCCAATTCTTAAAAATATCTACTTGAGTTATTTCGAAGATCGTGAGACAATATAACGACACGGGTTCTCTGTCGCCGAAGAAGAAGACTAGTTGACTGCGACTTACAACCCCAGAAGAAGATGAAAGTCTAAAATTAAGCAGTCAGGAGAACACTTTTAAAACGGCCAGAGAGCACAGATGTGAGTTAAATCTCAACGTGTGTGTGGATACGGTGAAACGAAGGTATGTAACATTTGTAGTATAATAATCAAACTTCCAGCAAAATATATATATTTTGATAAAATGAACCTCCAGAAATAAAACTTTATTAACATGTTATTTCGTATAAAGAAATGTAGGAAACAGAGATAATATATATATATACAGTAGAGCGTCGATTTTCCGAATCAATTGGGGTCTGGAGTTGTTCGAATAACTGATATTTCGGATAACCGATTTATGTACGAAAAAATAGTTTAACGTATCCAATGTTGAAATTTTTATCTGTTGCATGTCGCTTTGCGTTGAATTCTCGTCGATGTTAAGCCTAACAAAGACTATTGTATCTTTAAAAATTATTTTTTTATTTTGTACAAACAAAATAAATATATTGAAAAATATAAAAACAATAAAAAATTATACTTCAGATGTTAATTTAGTATCAAAAACGTAAAATATTTGAGTAGCCCAAGACATAGCCAAAGATTGAAGCGCCAGAGCACTGGCGAAAATTTAAATTTGCCGACTGGAATTCTTTCGGATGATTGACATTTCGGATGATTGACTTTCAGAAAATCAACCCTCTACTGTATATATATATATTTCTTTTATTAATAGACTAAGGCAATTTAAGTTGTACGGACAGTGGACGGCCAAAAAACAAAATCTAACAATTGCAAATCAATTCTATCGGTTAGGTTTTGCCCAACAATATAGTCGATGGGACATGTCCGATTGGGAAAACATGATATTCACCGACGAAAAAGTATTTTGTAGTGAAAATAGCGGGATCGTATGGGTGCGCCGACCACCATCAACACAGCATAATCCTGAATACGTGGTGTAGTGGTGCTGCACCACCAACTTGGATAGTTTGGTATCACAATTCCCCACTGCAACAGAACATTGGTGCTAAGATAGGTGGTTGGCCAGCATTCTGGTAGTCACGCCTGTATAGCGGTATATAGCCCTGATATTGGGAATATATACCTGATTTTTCCAGGATGGAAACAGCATCCTTGTCATTACATAAAAGTAAGGCTTCATGATTTGTGAAGCCTTACTCTTTATCACAGAACATAATTACTTTCGCTTCAATGGGAAAGTATACCTACAAAAACAAGGTGTCCCAACGGGCCCTCCACTGTTCGCTATACCAGTGGAATTGGTCAGGAGACATGTGAAGAACAGGGTCTTCAGTTTCCTCCTCACAATAGCTTACCCGTTAATATATTTGAGGTACATAGACGACATTCTTTTGGTGAGGCAGAGCACGAAGGATTCTTTCCTGGCATTAGAACAATACCTTGCCAGCATATATTCATCCATCAATTTTACCTGGGAAAAAGAAATTGGGGGAAAAATCGCCTTTTTAGACCTGCACATTTCCAAATCCCAGGGAAATTTGTTGTTCTCTGTCTTCCACAAGTTTGGTAATATTCCTCCATAATACCCACCATGGCCTACCAGTCACAAAGTACATTAATGTGACCATTGCCCACTTAATCAGAATGGCCTTTTTAGTACCTCCCACTCAACATCTAGCTAGAGGTCATCCACACAGCGGTGTGCACGACAGGTTATGGTCCTGCCAAATACAACCATATCCAAAACAGAGTTACACAGTCCCTCTTCCCTACTACTACTTTGTACAGTCCTTCCCTCCCATTTTGTGGCTGCCTCACAGCCCAGATTTGCCAGTATTAAGATACATTATGCATGAAGTTATGTATATATAATTTCAGCTTGCAGTCATGGTGTATTTTTCCAATCATGTTAAACTGAAATCATGAAATTAAAGTATCACATAAATTAAAAGTGTATAATTAACACTGGTAAATGAAATATTTGTAATAATCNGAAGAGGTAGAAGTACAAAATATTAAAAATGAGGAAAACATAGAAAGGGTCCCAGTAATGTATAACCTGCATCTAAAGACAATGTACGAAAAAATTGCAAAGAAAAGGGGAATTAAGATTGCATACAAAAGAAACCCATCCATATACAGTTTATTAAAAAACAGAAAGGACATTCCTAACCCAGACAGACTTCAGGAATATACAGTATTCCATTAAAAGACGACAGATGGGATAAGCCATTAATTTATATTGGTTCCACCAAGCATTCATTAGCCACAAGAATAAAAGAGCATAAATCTGACATCACCCATAATAAATGTATGACAACCCTATCTACATATGCAACAAACCCAGACATCACATCTATCTTCAATGAAGTGCATGTTATCTGCACCACTCAGCATAAAGAGCAACTAAGAACTTTGGAAGCAATTGAAATCTTTTAAAGCTGATCGCAAATCCACATGCATTAATTTTAAAAAAGAAATGAATCTCTCTACAGCATGGCAATTCTTACTAGATGATAAATCGTAATTTAATTTAAAAGATAATTTTAAATAATGTAATGTGTGATGTTTCGGATGATTGACGTTTCGGAAAATCGACGCTCTACTGTATTATGTTTATTTCATAATGTAATTGTGCAAGCAATAGATATGTCATCATCATACAAATGACTTCATCCAATCTATTTAGCCACTTATTGTTTAACTGAAGATAGAATGATCATAAGCATTTCTTAATTAAAAGTTAACCAATCAACTTTTTGTCTGTAATATTGTTTCAATGATTATATTTAAAATTTTGAAAATTACTTTAAAGTGTTTTCTATAAATAATTTAAACTACACAAATTTTGTATTTTTTTTCTTTATGTTGTTATTATTTTTCAAAAGATCATCTTTATAAATGATCTTTTAATTTATTAATTAAATATTTTAACTTTAAAAGACTAAAATATAATAAAATATAACTTACTGATATCCAGTTTGAACAGAAAATTGCAAACCACTTTGCATGGCTGTATTTTCTGATTTTGGAATATTAGATGGATCTTGGATATATGCCAAAGGCTGTCTTTGTACAGGAAGTTTTCCAGTAGTACCTCTAGACAACTGAGATACTGGCGCTACAACATTTGCAGCACTTTGGTGTTGCTGGAGTGCTATATTCACAGAAGGTGAAATAGGTCTTGTAACAGTCCCAGCAGCTCCACTACTAACAGGAGAAGGAGTTACAACTCTATGCGTCTCACCACCATCCACTCTAGGCAGTCCTGACTGAAGAGAATTTGCAACAGAACTGGATCCTGGAACACTAGAGTATACATTGGTATTTAAACCTGGATGATCATCAAGATGACGTCTCATTCTTCACGTGAATATTTCTAAAACTATATTAAAATCAAATTAGTTTCTACATGCACAAGTGAATGATGATATCAGTTTTTAAAATTTTTAAATTATTATCTAAAAAAAAGCCTTAAAAAATAAAGAAAAAAATTTCTAATAAAATATCAAAAAATGTTCTATATTGCACAAGTTACTCTCCTATTAATCAAAATAATCAACATCTAATCCATTGCCGAGGGAGTTTATTTAAAAAACGAATGTTTTCGATCTACTTCATAGATCATCTTCAAGTTGAAAAAAACAAATATGGAATAACCACAAAGAATAGAACATTAAGTTCAAAATTCAAAAATATCAACAACTGAGTAATTAAGTAAAATAATTAAAGTGTAAAAATACCAATTGTAAAAATAAATAACATACAACAATAAATAAGTAATAGTACAAGTCGTTAACAGTTAACAAAAATTATAAATGCTCTCATAACGTGAATTGCGAATTGCATTCTCCTATTAACTTTGTCAACTTATTTTAATTTCTAATAATATAGTTGTAAGACAAAATCAGTAACTATTATAATTCAGTTTTACATATATATAGAATTGACTTCTTTGTAATAATGTTGCTAAGTTTTTTTTTTTTTACTTATTGATTTACAATAGTGGAGGTAGAGGTGTTGTTGTTGTAGTAGTATATGAGTTAAAGAGTTATCTCTACAATGATTAAATAAAAGTGTTCTGTAAGGCTATAACATCAGTACAAAAAACCACTGGACTCCAACTCATGCTCATCAATCTTTAACTGATTCCAACTCCTTCATAAAAGCTCAATATATATTAATAATGGTAAAACTACTAAAATAATAAATGATCCCATAAAACATATCATCATCATCACATGAATCATCAAGTCATATTTTAGACTTTAAGTATAAACACATACAGTTATTTCGAGGATGAAGTTAGTCAGTACATTTTTACTGACTAACTCTAGAATTGATTCTGACTCCAACTCTGCAGTCTTTGTGCTCTGACAAATCTCTAATCTCTTTTTTACATTCAAGTAAGGAAAATTTTTATCTATAAAGATAACCTATGAAGTCAAATAATTTATCAACTGTTTCTTTTCTTTAAAGAAATCAAAAATATATATGGTTAATTCACAAAAAAAAAAAAAAAAAAAGACTATACAATAAAGTCTTATTTTGCCCTTTCTCACATCTCAAGAAATAACAGTCTTATAGCAGAGTCAATCTTTATTTATTGTACAAACATCATGAAACAACGTATTAGTAATATGCCAAACAACTGCAGGATTAAAATCAAGCTGCTTTTCTACTATTATTTTTAATTCATTTCTAAATTTTTCACTAAATTATAGGACAAGGATGCTGAAGACAACCCAATCAGCACCCTAAGCAATCTGGAAGGAAAGATCTATCTGGAGACTCAGGTAGCATAACTGGCAACATATCTGCACAATAAGCAGAAATTGTGGGTTCCAAAACCACTCAGGCTGATTCTTCCAGAATATTCTAAATTATTTATAAACTAGATGAGCCCAGCATTACTCAAACAAAAGTAATGTTAGCAAAAAGGTTATTAGATTATAGCCCATCTTACCCATTTTCACTGAGTGCAAGAATTAGGTCCCCACGATATTCCAATGGTTTTTCAAATTTCAATATCGAATATTTCAAACGATATTTCTGACAGTTCAGCTGAGTACGGTTTTTGAATGTTATTTAAACTTCTTACGTCATAGCGCATAGATGAGAATGATAATAAATAAATATCATAGTGAGAAATAGCTCTGCTAAAGCACACACTACCGGGGGAAAAAACTAGTTATGTAGGCACCACTGCCAGAAAATTAAGTTCACGTATCCATGAACATCAAGAAGACATCAAAAGTAACAGGCCAGTTACAGAATTAACAAAGAAAGTACTCGACCACAACTACCAGCCTCTATGGAACAAAATAAAATTACTGAAATGCTGTAATGCTCAAAAAGAGCTATTTATTTGGGAGACACTCTACATTTCTATTACCATTCCGTGCAACTCCCCAACTTTCAAGCTTCCATAAATTTGGATAACAGCTTTCAAACAACTCAACTCAAGATATTAATACTCCTTTGTTGCTCATAAGCTTATTTTACCTTGGTATGCACTACATGCATGAACTAAGTTTTTACGGCCATTTCTCACTATGATATTTATTTATTATCGTTCTCATCTATGCGCTATGATGCAAGAACCTTTAAATAACATTTGAAAATCATAATCAGCTGAACCGTCGGAAATATCGTTCGAAATATTCGATATTGAAATTTGAAAAACCGTCGGAATATCGTTCGGAAAGCTTAAACTATCGTATTCTATGTACCGCCTGATGATGGTAGTTTTACTCTACTGAAAGTGCTAGCAAATAAGACCTTTCTCCAAAAGTCAGATAAATTTCCATATCTGGAACTCAACTCCTGTAATGCCACTGCACGTAAATGTTATAGTAATAGTTTATGTCGGCGTAAAGTGCAAACTTATTATAAATTAGGTCCCCTCTATTCTGAGACTAAGTAGAAAATTTTTAGATATCTGCTTACCAAACTGGCATAACGATAATTAAAATTCACAGCAACCACTAACTGGTGCATAGTACCACTAAGTGATGAATAACAAATGTTTTCGTAACCCCTTCTGGGTTTTTCTTCAGGTTTACTAAATTTGAAAAATAAGCTGTACCTTCCCAAATCATTCATAAATATAAATTTGAACATAAAATTGAACATTAAGACAAAGAGTTTCAATAAAGCGAACTTATGCACATGCGTTCCCCGTGTCACCTTCATATACAATGGAACACTAAATATTGTTGAGAATTTTTAGGATCTAAAAATATGTTTGATTTCCTGCATAAATACATAAAAGACATTTAAAATAATACAATAGAAGCCAAGTTCTTCGGGATAATCCTTAACCCCTTCTCTCTCCCCTGTAGTAGGAATTTTGAAAAATCCCTTCTTAATGTGCATTCTCATGACATGCCCTAACTGTGTACCAAATTTCAACTTTCAACTCCTAACCATTTGGGCTCTACACTTATTATCATCATTATCAACCCATCTTGATTATATTATAAGATTATTAATTTAATTATAATTACAGTAGAGCGTCATTTATCTGAAAGTCGGTTATCTGAAACGTCAGTTATCCGAAAGAATTCCAGTTGGCAAATTTAAATTTTCGCTAGTGCTGTGGTGCTGCAATCTTTGGCTATGTCTTGGGATAGTACAATATTTTTTGTTTGTGTATGTGTTTTAGCTGGCAGCACTAGCACTTTTGTGTGGTGTTTTTCTTAGGACTGTGTGTGGTGCTGAATCAAACGTTTTTGATACTAGATCAACTTCTAAAGTATAATTTTTTATTGTTTTTATATTTTTCAATATATTTATTTTGTTTGTAAAAAATAAAGAAATAATTTTTAATGATACAATAGCCACGATTATTATTTTAAAAAGTTTACATTAGGCTTAACATCGACGAAAATTCAACGCGAAGCGA